GTCGTCTCGTAGTAGTGTAGTAAGTAGTAGTAGTGTGTGTGTGTGTGTGTGTATAGTGTAGTGTGTGTGTGTGTGTGTGTGTGTGTGTGTGTGTGTGTGTGTGTGTGTGTGTGTGTGTGTGTGTGTGTGTGTGTGTGTGTGTGTGTGTGTGTGTGTGTGTGTGTGTGTGTGTGTTACATTCAGAGAGGGACATACTTAGTCACACTATTGTTCAACTTACGCTATACTCACAATAACAAGTAAACACATCACAAAGTCAATGTTTAAAATTCCAGACTGATTGTTCAAATTCAGGAGACAAGTTTTAAAATGTGTCTTTTGATCGATCAATCTATTGAAAGCAAAACTTTGCTGCAAATATCAGTTTTTATATGTTGTAATTTGACAAAGTTTGACTTCTCTCTCCTCCAGGAGCCCAGCACAAAACGCAGCAAACTCGTATCCAGAGTGACGTCTCTGCTGCAACCTGTCAAGACGGCACCGCTGAAGAGGATTGGTCAGACGCTGCAGGTGAACAGCCAATCAGTTTTTTGTCCATACATTTGTGAAAATCTTCCCTGGTTCTGAAAGTGTTTTACCTAATGAATATTTCAATTATTTAATTTAGCTTTTATAGTTTTCTCCGTGTAGGGGCAACAGAAAAAAAAAAGAGTAATTCCTTATTTCTGATACATGTTTATTAGCAATTCCCACTTAAAATTTGTATTTGAAATGTGATAAGACAATTTGTAGCCCATCAGTAAACATCTGAAATAAATAAGGATAATATTCTATAGACAGTGCTGTACTTTATAATTTATTCAAATGTAATATTTCCTTATTTAACCGTCTGTCTCTGCAGCGCTCCATCAGTTTTCGTAATGAGGGTCAGACAGAGAGAGCAGCTCCTGCACCTCCCCCCTCCTCTTCCTCCATGATGAAGACGCGTGTTCTCTCAGCAACACTCTCAAACCCGGGCTCATCGAGCACAATGACACGGGTTTCCACAGCAACGGTGCCAGCCGCCAAGCGCCGTGACAGCAAACTTTGGAGCGAGACCTTCGACGTGCGGCTAGGAACGATGCAGACTCTGAGCCCGAAAGAGATCAAACGACAAGAGGTGAGAGAAACACTGCTGCTGGACTCAAGGAGCTTTTGAAAGGGGCATTTGAGCTTTTTAGGGTTTTCCTCTCCTGCAGTGTGTTTTATGGGATTGTTTGCTAGTAAGGGCCCGTGTCCACATAGTGCCTTTTTTTTCGGAAAGGCGCTGAAAGGGCAGGTAAACCCTCTCTGCTGCCTGAAACGCTCCAGTGGACTCCTTTCTTTACGTCCTGACATTACTATGTAACACTCGCACTCGCATTGTCAACAACTCATTGTTTGTGATTAAGGGGCGAGACATCTCTAGGCGCTTGACCAATCACAACAAAGCAAGCCAGCTAACCAATCAGAGCAGACTGGGCTCTGGTTTCAGACCGAGGGTGAAAAGATGTGCTGCAGCACAGGCAGTATGAGAAAAATAAAGAGCTTTTTGAAAACTAAAGCAGGGAGACATGTCCCAGTAGAAGAACAATAATTAAAAATATGATCCTAAAAATGAACATAATATGTCCTCTTTAATGCAAAATATAAATCAGCTAATGAATTATGAATTACTATTTGAATATGGATATGCACAATTTTGAAATGATGTTCACAGTAATTTAGTTGTATAATACACGCATGGCTTTTACTTATAACAGAGTATTTCTAAACTGTGGTATTACTGAAGATCTTAGTACTTTTTCGACCTCTGCTCATTTATCTATTTACAATATAAACATCATAAATTAAAAACATTCTACTCATTTCATTTTATTTCTCTTTCTCTCTTCCTGCAGGCTATATTCGAGTTGGCTCAGGGTGAGCAAGACTTGGTAGAGGATCTCAAGTTGGCTAAGAAGGTAACAAAAATAACTTCTTCTTGAAGAAGTAACTTTGATTGTTCAGTAAGAGTATTTTCCTTAGCATGCTCATATGTGTTCTCCAGGCTTACCATGACCCCATGCTGAAGCTGTCAATCATGACTGAGCAGGAACTGAACCACATCTTTGGCACTCTGGATTCTCTGATACCCCTCCATGAAGGTAGGAAGGATCATGTTTGAAATAAGCTACATGACTAACATAAGATTATTGTAAAATACAATCTATGTTACAACAGATAACTGAAGCCCCCAATGTTGTGTAATGTCTGAAAAGGGCTTAAAGCGGCACTTCATGTAATGGCCACCAGAGGGGGACAGTGTGATTCTTGCAACGTCTCTCTGCGCATACACAGTATAAGTTCACACTGCAGAAGAGGTTCAGCCAAGGACACATTCTGAACTTTAACCAGGGAGCCTGTAAGGAAAAGGAGTATTATTCCATTGGATTGGGTGTTAGCATGTTTGGCTGAATGTTCTGACAGGCTGATAAGAAGATTGAGTCATACTTACACTTTTATTCTGGCAAATTTCTGTATGACTGCATATTTAAAAACGTTGGCTTGTTTTATTTTTAAAAAGGAACTGCCGTGTACAAAAGCATTTCAACTCAGCTTTTTTTGTTTATTTAGAATTATTATTACTACTTTTTTCTTTTTTTCTGTATCAAGATATTTTTTATTCTGCCTGATTCTAATTGTATTTATATATTTCCTTTCCGCCTGTTACTTAAATCTTCCAACAATTCTGCACTGCACTAAGGAAGTAGGACAATGAGTCCTGAGGTTAATGTAATTAGTTAAATGTATGTGAAATATGACCACTCAATTAAAAAGATATTTGAGAAAAACTTTTTGTTTAGGCTGTATTTCACAAAATATTCTAAAAACCTTTGGAATGAATAATTTCAGGATCAGTATTTTTGAAAGCTTCAACTATTTTAGCCTTTATAGTGACATGGATTGAGTTTGTATATTAATGTCAGGCTCAGTATTTCTCAATGACATTGTCTCATGTTTGAAAAGAGTTTCAGAATTTGACAACGTCTTTGTCTCCTCAGACCTGCTGAGTCGACTCAGAAATGCCAGAAAGCCTGACGGGTCAACAGAACATGTGGGACGCATCCTGACTGACTGGGTGAGTGTTTCTCTTTACAAAAAACAACATACTGATACATACATACATGAGTTTCCATGTAGCATGCACCGTGTGGTAATCAGGTGTGTGTGTGTGTGTGTGTGTGTGTCTGCAGCTGCCATGTCTCTCCTCCTACACATCGTACTGCAGTAACCAGGTGAAGGCCAAGACCTTGTTGGACCAGAAGAAGCAGGACCGGCGGGTCCAGGACTTCTTGCAGCGCTGTCTCCAGTCGCCTTTTAGCAGGAAGTTGGACCTGTGGAACTTCCTGGACATCCCCCGCAGTCGACTGGTGAAATACCCGCTGCTGCTCAGGGAGATAGTGAAGCACACGGCCAACGACCACCCGGACCGGCAGCACCTGGACGAGGCGGTGAGGAAAACAAGCGATTCCATTATTTTCATGTTTGTCTTGCAGGTCGGGATCATCTCACCATCTGACTGAGGGAGTGGGAAAACATTTGCGTTTTAATTTCTCAAAACATGCAAATTATGCAAATATAACCCCGTAAATTCAGACACAGCTTTAAATAGTTAAACCGAGCTTGGTATTAACCCTGAAATACCAGCAGTAACCTCTAAAAGTTTGGGATAAACTCGGAAATAAGGGAAGAATGGCACCCCTGGGGTTTTTTTTCACTTCTAATCACTTTCCCAAAAAGAAATTTGGTGAAAGTTGGAGCACTTTGAGTCGTGGATGGCTATTTACTCTGCTGGTTGAATTTTAAGTACCAAAAATGAATAAATGCAGAGGCGGCGGGTACTGTAGGCTATATTTTTTTAGTCACTGCATCCTGGTACAAATTTAAATATTATGTATAATGTTTTTGTCTTTGACATTAGCGCTGCTATGCAGCCACCTGACGGCGTGCAAGCGCCTGCGCAATCTGTTTGTTTCAAGCGGCTTGTGATCGTGATGTGATTGGCCAGCCCCTCTGTGGCCAATCACATCACGATCCGACAGCGAAGTGTCAAAGATGTTCAAGAAAAAATTAAAACAACCAGTAATCCCGATGCCACGACGGACACCCGCCAAGATAAGGTAACAACTAGTAAGGCAGGCCAGGAGCTTTTTTTTTGTTTAGCATGGCTGCTGAAGATGACGTCAATGACGCTATCGCGTAGAGCTACGTCGATGCTTGCGTAATGTGGAAGTAGTTTAATCTAAACTGGGTTTGAAAAACGATAGACGCCGGAGCATGGATGTATAATAAGAACTGGATACAGCGTCGGAGGCGGGGTCTCGTTTTTTCCTATGAGAGCTGCTCATTGGCACATGAAGACAAAATGGACCAACTTTTGAGAGAGCGAAACGTCACAGATTACCCGTCATGCCTGGCTGTCAGAGCAGAAGAACCCGTATGTGCGCTCGCAGAGCATGCGCCCCTTAAGCCCCGCCCCCCAAGCTCCCACTCTCGGCTCACTAAAATGAATGGAGAGAGAAAATAAATCTAGATTCGGCTTTTAGTGCATTTTACAACTTTAAGGACTTAATGATTCTAATAAGGGCTATAAAATAGTTCATAATGGGTAGTTTATTTATTTTAAATTTAGTTTAAATTATCCGCTGATTTACAGACGTCTTTTTCCCCATGTTACTCAATGGGAAAAAGTCTTTCTGGGCCCAGTGACGTCACGGACGGATACGGAAATTGTAGTACCGCCGTTTGGACAAAACACGTTTTTTCCTCAGAGTCCGGAGCACTTCCTGTGGTCTCGTCAGGTAAAAAAAGTTGTTTAGCCTTCCCAAACCTGAGCCTCACGTGCTGTCTATGAACAAATGTGTAAGAAAATGTCAAATTTGGACAAGGGTCGACTAAAAAACTGAACCAATTAAGTAAACTAGAACTACCAGGGTGCCTTTCACTGATTAAACAAACAATCCCATCTTAAAGTGCGGTTATGTGTACAGTTCATGGTGAAAAAAGTTGCAAACACCCTTTAAAAGTCAGAACAAATTGGTGTTTAACCCTACACATTTGTGACTTTTTTCTAAAGTAGGGGTAACACTTTATTTTGTATATTAAAAAAACTTAACAAAATCAGATAATTATGGGTGAAAAATCAGTTATATAAATAAATGTTGTTTGCAACTTAGTTTTTATCATTCATTCATTTATTTATTTCTCTACACCAGCCTGCTCTCTGCAAAATTCACATTGTTTGCATGTATCTTAGTTGGTTACTTCTCTTTGAAATATAGAGAAGGTGATGGGTGCAGAAGGAATCATTCAGTCATGGCAGGGGATGGACCACAGATGCATAAAAGGATGAGAAACAGACCAGTGGATTTAAAATGTGTCTGATGTTATCTGTTTGCTCTGCAGATGCTGATGGTTCAGAGCGTGGTGGGGGACATCAACAGGCGGACGGGGGAGTCAGAGTGTCAGTACTACAAGGATCGCCTGTTGTACACAGAGGAGGGGAAGAGGGACGAGCTCATCGACCGCTCCAGGACCCTCAGCTGCCACGGAGAGCTGAAGAACAACAGGGGACTCGTCAGTGCATTTCTACTATTTTATACTTATTAACTACCGCTTCCTTTAACACCATACATGTTATACTCTCTCTCAATATAAAAACTACAGTCGAGGGAGGTGAATAATATTTCAAGAAAATAAAAAAGTAGTAAAGTGAACGTTTTTTTTTTTTTTGGGCTTTTGCCTGAAAATAGACAGGACTCAAAAAAGAATTACAGAAATAGGGGAGGGGAATAATATACATTAGTAAAACATATGTACACTGTGTATAAGAAAGCTTTTTTCCCTGGTCAGATCATTATATATTATAAGCCCTTGTAAAATATATAAAATATTTAACAATATCTTTTTAAAGTGTACCTGACTATTATTTTCAATCTTTATCTTTACCATGCGAAAAGTCATCACTGATTTGATTATTTTTACAAGTTTTATGACTAGACCACGTTCCAAATATTGTATCTGGGATGTATAGAAATAAATCTGTTTCTCTCTCTGTTTCCAGAAGCTCCACGTGCTTCTGTTCCAGGACGTCCTCGTCATCACCAGGTCCATCTCGCTGAACGATTATCCGGTCAGCTACCAGCTGTGCCGCCAGCCAATACCCATCCGGCAGCTGGACCTGGAGGACCTATCAGACGGAGAGATGCGAGTGGGCGGGTCCATCAGAGGAGCCTTCAGCAACAACGAGAGAAGTGAGAATTTCGCAAATACAGCGGATATTAAAACTCCAAGATTTTATTTTGTCAGGATCTGTTTCCATGCATTCACTTGTTTTGTTCCATACTATAATACAGTACTGTATAAGTACACTGTGTGGCTCAAATACATGCAATGTACTTCTGCTCTGAGGCAAGCCTAAAGCCTCATTCCTCTGGACAACAAAACACATACTAACCTTATAACAATCGGCTTGATCTACAGTGGAAAAGGTTAGATACGGCATTAATTCCTGGGTAAAAAGACTGCAATGGAAACATAACACTCAGGTGGACATGCTAATTTGTGAACCTTTTACAACATGATGCTATGAGGTTATAACTAATATAATTCAAAGGAAATTGGACAGTTATTATTATTTAAACATACAAAATGTATTATGTTCTCAAGCCACCAGACTCATTGATCATTACAAAAACACACATTTAAAAAAAACTTCTTTGTGGTTTTAAATGTTTTGCAATTAAAGTAAGGACATTTGATCAGTGTTACATCATCTGATTATGTATGTAGAGGTTTGAAACAAATTCATGCAATTGTTTGTTTGTAGCCTTTATTTTACACACTGCAGTACGATGTGTAGGAGGAGAGACATGGCAGCTGCAGGAACACACACACACACACACATATATATATATATATATATATATATATATATATACAATTTCAGAATCAA